CTGGCCTCTTAAGCTCCCTTCTGAGCCGTCTGGTTCCCTGCGCTTTGGCCGCCGGCCATTCTGTCCCGTGAGCGTGCCCGTCTGCTTCGTGTTCGGATCGGACTGTCCACCCTCTCGTGCCCCTTTACTCCCCTTACTCTCCCTTCACGGACACGACAGCCTGCCACCTCCGAGGCCGTCAGGACGTCAGAGTTTGCCCCTGGGGTCGCCAGCCCGCTTTCGAGTCTGCGTTCTCACGGCCGGGTCATCTCGGCGAGCACTTCCGGGTCGGCAGGCGCGCTGCAGCCGTACGATCGGGGTGCCCTGTCCACGGGCTTCTGACCGGAGTCCACGGCGCAGGCCGTGGGTTTGGCCGACGTGTGATCCCACATCCGCCCCCCGGTCGTGTCAGACAGAACGGCCTGTGCTCTGCCTGTTCATCCCGCTCCCCTGAACCCGCGACCCCCGCCTCTCACGGCCCCCGTCGTTCCCGGGCTGTCAGGTAGCTGGAGTCCCACAGCACGTGGCTTTTTCGTGGCTTGACGGCTCCTTCGTCATCACTGAACAAAGTTCCACTGTCTGGACGTATACAGGTTGCTGTTTCTCCTGCCAAACGACCTCTCGCCGATCTCCGCTGTGGCGGTCATGAGCACGTCAGCGTGTCCCTAAGGAGTGGCCGTAGGCACGTGTGGCTGACCGCAGGCAGGCGAGCGGCGGAGCTGGCGCCTCTGGACCTTGGCCCGGCCACTGCTCTTTGCACAGGTGCTGAGAGGTGCGGCTGCGCCCGTGGGCTTCCTGGGGAGGAGTCTTACTTTTTTGTCAACTTCAAGCAGTGAGAAGGTCATTTAGCGAGTCACAACTCGAGACTGTGCCTTTTTGTGTTGCTCATTATTTTAGACGTGGCCTTTGCTGCTGACAGCAACGTGCTATGTTATCTCCAGTTCAGACGTCTTTGAATGGTCTAAACCGACCCAGTAGCCTTGAATTGGTCCAGTGGTTGTGACTTTTACTGAGATAGTTATAGCGTCACCTGTGGCTATGAGAAATGACACAGACACCACTTCTGTCCCCAGTAGTGACACTTTGCAGACACCCCCCTGCCTTCATGTGGCGAGTGCACGTGTGCTCGTGGGTACTGCCTTCTGCACGGTTTCAGCACCTATGCAGGTTGGCGTGTCCGCCCCTGGAGTCAAGACAGCACACAGCCCCCACGCCGCAGGGGCCCTCGTGCTGCCCCAAAGGTCACTCTCGCCTCCCATCACTGACCAGTCTGCCTTCCGGCTCTGAAAGGCCGTCGTCCTAAACGTGTTCGGTGAGCGGGGTCATGTGGCACTGCGTTTGGGGTGGGCTCTTGTCAGCTCAGCATGGCCCCTGAGACCGGCCTGTGGCATCTGCGTTTCTGTGAGTCTGCGCTTTACCGAGGAGTGGGGAGTGGCCCACGTGTGCCGTTCGGTGGACGTCCAGACTGCGTGCACGTTGGGGCTGTGACAGGTAAGGCCGCTGTGGACGCTCGTGTGCAGGTCCTTGTGTGAGGATGTAGAGTTTTCTCGAGCCCCGGTGACCCCTCTCTCCCTCTGCCCCCTCCATGCGGCCACTGACCTGTCTTCGCAGGGGCTCCGTGAGGGGCCCGAGACGCTCCCCAGGGCCGGCCCTGCCCGCAGCATGGCGCGTGTGCCAGCAGCTCGTCCCCGTCTGGGCCGGCCCGTTCCCATCTCACTTGGCGGCAGACAGCTGGGTGGTTGTGAACAGTGGCTCCGAGCGTGTGTGTGAGTCTGTGGACGCGGGCTTCCATTATGCACTGTGGGCCAGACCTCACCTAGCACTGGGGGTGCTGGGTCGCACGGTAAGGGCGCATTTACCTTGTGAGTGCCACCAAACTGCTGGCCGACGGGCCGCGCCCTGCCACGTTCTCAGCACGCGCTGGCCAGCGTCGCCCCTCTGCCTGGCACACACGTCCTGGTGGGTGTCTGGCAGCACCGCCGTGTTTTCCCTTTGTAGATGACTGATGGCGGCGAACGTCTTTTCACGTCCCGATGGCTGTGTTACACATCTTCTGACATGTCCACATCTTTTGCCAGTTTTCATAAATGGGCTCTTTTTGTCTTAGTGACTGCGCTGTGTGAGTTGTGTCCGTATCGTGGGTGTGCGCTGCTTCTTGGGCACCTGTGCTCGGAGGGCTCCCTCCGTTTCTGGGGCCGGCCTGCAGGTGCGGGTCTGTCCAGGTGCCCGCGGAGCTGCCGGTCTGTTGGGTCTGCTCCTCGGGCCAGACAGCCTCGGTCGGTGTGGGGCCGTGTCTCGAGGTCAGTGAGACCTCCGGCTCGCTCTTTTATCGGCGTTCCTGCGGCTAATCTCAGCCCGCTGCATCGCCGCACACAGTTTGAAATCAGTTTGCCGGTCCCTACAACAGCTCTGCTGAGCCCGGGGCTGGGCTGGCACGGCCCCCGTGGGCAGCTGTGGCGAGGGCGGGCCTCAGCGCCACACGCTGCCTCACCCCGACTCCGGTGAGTCTCGCCAGGGTCTTAGGTCGCCCTTCACTCCGCTCGGCGATGCAGATCTCGTGTGTCTTTTGTTAAATTTCACCCCTTCGTGGCTTTGGATGCTGCTATCGGTGAAAGTTATGTTTACAGGAGTTGCGCCCGAACCTCGTGGGACATGTCCCGAGGCCCCCAGTGGGGCCGGACACCGCAGACGGTGCCGAGTGCTCACACAGGTTTTCCTGCCCATGCACACTGGGGACGGACAGTTTGATTTATAAGTTACACACAGTGAGATTAACGACAGTAGCTAGTAGTGACGGGGAGCGATGTGCTGTAACTGAAGGTACGTGGTTGGCTTCGGGGCCATCGTTCAGTAGAGTGAGGGCGGCTTGACACAGGCCGTGACGTCGCAGCAGCCGGTCCGGTCGCCGAGGCAGGCAGGGGACGTAGCGTGGAGCTGCGGGGCGCAGGGATGGGCCACGGCCGCGTGGGGTCGAGCGGGGCGGCGTGCGACTCCCCACGTGACTCAGAAGGGCGTGCCCTGTAAAACTTATGCATTATTTCTGGAAATTTCCATTTACGATTTTCAGACCGCGGTTGGCTGAGACCGTGGAAGTGAAACAGCGGTTTTGGGGATTTCTGTGGTAAACTCTCAAGTTGTTTGCTGCTTTTACATAAAAGAGGTTGTTTTAAATGTTACACTTATGTCCTGTGACCTTGCTGAATTCATTTCCTCTAGGTTTTTTTTGTAGATTCTGTAGGACTTTCTATGTAAACAGCCAAGCCATCTAAGAACGGGGACAGTTATGTCTCTTTGCGTTCGTGTGTTTAAAATCCGCTGCTCTGCCATCTTAACCGGAAGCGGGTGCTTTTTGTCTTTATTCACCTTGCTGCGGTGTCAGGCGCCCCGGAGCGGAGCTGGACCAGAGCGGGGCGGGCCGGCCAGCCCCGCCCCAGCGTCAGCCGCGGGTCTCGCTCAGCTGCCCGTCAGGCTGAGGACGGCCCTTTCTGTTCCCGATGTGCCGAGAGGTTTTTAAAGCGTGCGTTGGTGTTGGGTTTTTACTGAATACTTCCATGAACCGTGTGGTTTCTCTTGCTCTATTAACAAAGTGAATCACATTGATTTACTTTGAAACGTTAAATCACGCTGGCATGCCTGGGATAATTTCTAGTGGATCAGGATTTGTGTACCTTTTTGTGTGTTCAGGTTCAGTTTGCTGGTGTTTTGTTCAGTATTCTGCGTCTGTGTTTGCGGGCGTTTTCCGGTGCTGTCTTCGTCAGCGGCAGGGCGGGCGTGCTGTTCTCCAGAACACGCTGGGCAGGATTCCCTCCTGCTCGGTTTTTGAAAAAATGTATCTGAAATTGATGTGATTTCTTCCTTGACTATTTAGTAGAAAAACCATCTGGGCCTGAAGTAGTCTTTCTGGAAATGTTTCCTATTTCAAATTCAACTTTTATAATGGCTATAGGGCTATTCAGATTTTCTGTTCCATTTTCTGTTAGTTTTTGGTAAATTGTATTATTCAAGATATTTGTCCATTTAGTCTTAATTTCTTGGCATAAAGTCGTCCGTAATCTTTCATTCTCTCTCTCGTGCCCGTAGGGTCTATAGTAAGGACCGACCCTCTGTCTTTCTTTCCCTGTGGTGCTAATTTCTGTGTGGGGTTTTTTTTTTTTTCCCCCCATCAGTCTGGCCAGTCCTGTATCAATTTTGTTGTTTTCAAAGAACCACCTTTTGGCTTTGTTAAATTTCTGTTTATCTGTTTTCCGTTTCGTTGATTTCTGCTGTTACCCCCTTTCCTTTCTGCGTTTTTTAGCGTTATGAGGTTGAACCTTAGGTGTCGACTAACATGTTGTGCTTTGTTCTTATTAAATTCAGAATATTTTCTACGTGTTTCTTAGGAGTGTGTTATACCTAAGATACTTGAGGTTTTCCTAAATATCTTCCCATTGGGTTCTTGACTTAATTCCGTTAAGGTCGGGACGCGCTGTGGGTGACTTCAGCCCATTTAAATTTCTGAACCTTGTTTCAAGGTGCAGCACGTGGTGCGTGTTGGTGGTTTTCATCAGAGAGTGTGATCTGTGGGTGTTGGGGGTCGGGGTGGCTGGTCGTCAGTGCTGCTCCTGGGAGTTCGGCTTTGGCCCTGCTGTTCGTTTTCCCAGTGCTGTCAGTTCCCGAGGAGGGGACTGAGGTTCTTGTCGCCGGTGGGTGGTCTGTTTCTCCCTGCGAACCCGTGTCCGTGCGTTCTGCGGCCGTCTTGACGGCGTGTCCCTCGCAGACGGCGCCTGGCTGAGTCTGCGTTGGCGGCCGCCTGACGGTGCCGCACTCTCTGTGCCCGCCACGTCGGGCTCCAGGTGCGCGTGCTGACAGTCTCCTTGGGCCGCAGTGTTGTGGCGTCGCTGCTGCAGTCACGTGACACGCTTCCGGACACCAACCCCGCACACGGTGCTGTGACCCTTCGCGCAGAGTCGTCACGTGGGGTCGAGTGTGCGCCCCGCGGCCGGAGTTTTTCTTGCTTTCCGACGTTTTCGGTTTCCCCGTAGGATAGCCTGCCATGGCGGATCAGAGACAGCGCTCGCTCTCCACCTCCGGGGAATCGCTGTACCACGTTCTCGGGCTGGACAAGAATGCGACGTCAGATGACATCAAGAAGTCCTATCGGTAAGAGGCCCGTCGTGCCCCCGAGTTCGATGCGCCTGACCGAGAGCCACCGCGTGTGCTCTTTCCCAGCCGACGCAGTGTGTCGTGTGTTCCCTCAGAGCTCGTGGTCACTGCACCGGCGTGGCCTTGGCAGCAGCAAACAGCACCTTGTCAGTGACACAGACTGCCCTGGAGCAGGCAGTTCCGTGGGCAGCAGGGGTGAACCTGCTGGGTTGGGGCCTTAGAGTGATGATAGGACCTGCTGACCCTGTTGTAGCCTTCCGGTTGGACTTGAACTTAACCCTTATGTGCCATTTCGTTGGTTAAGCTGTGAGAGACAGGCACCGTCGCTGATCCAGGCACCGGATCCAGACCTCTGTTTTGCCTGTGTCATTGTGAAGCACATGAAAATGCCTCATTGCAGCCGCCTCGTGTGCCGCTTGGCTTAGCAGGCATGCAGTCCGCCGCGGGCAAGCCAGGGGTCAGCAGGAGGATCTGCCTGCCCCGCTGGGCACTCGTGCCGTGGACCTGCTCCTGTGGGCCAGGGCGTCTGGGCGGGAGGCTCACCTTGGGATGGTGGCAGATTGTTCTCTGACCCTGACAGCCTCGAGCCCTGTGGGCAGTTAGAAAGCAAGTTGGTAACAGGCTAGCGTCCCTTCAGCTGGCCCCTCTGCCCGGTGGATGGACGCGAAACAGGACCAAGGACTGGTTTTGGTTTGCAGGAAACTTGCCTTGAAATATCATCCTGACAAGAACCCCGACAACCCCGAGGCCGCAGAGAAGTTTAAGGAGATCAACAACGCGCACGCCATCCTGACGGACGCCACGAAGAGGAACATCTACGACAAGTACGGCTCGCTGGGGCTGTACGTGGCCGAGCAGTTTGGGGAGGAGAACGTGAACACCTACTTCGTGCTGTCCAGCTGGTGGGCCAAGGTGAGCAGGGCCAGGGTGGCGGGGCCGACCCCCGGTGCACTGAGTGTCACCCCGGCAGGACGCCGGCCTCAGTTGGGGCACTCGAGCCGCGTGGTCCCCACCCCTGAGAGCTGGTCCCGGGCCTGTGGCAGCCTGTCACACAGTGGGCGTGGGCAGAGCGGGCAGTCGCCTGCCTGCGATCTGTGCCGAGCCGGGGTGTCCACAGCCCTCGGTCACTGAGTTTTGGGGAGGGTCCAGGCGGGGAGACAGCGTCACCCCTGTCACGTGTAAGGCCTCAGGATGTGACAGTCCAGGGCGCCGGGCGTAGGAAGCCCGCCTGCAGCGCCTGCTGTTGGCTCTCGTCCCCTCCCTGTCTCTCCCGTTGCTTGTCTCTGAGCAGCGGGTCCCGGCCCCTCCGGCCGCCCGTCGTCAGCCCTCTCTCCACCGCCTGCCCTGGAAGGCACTGTTCTCGCGCGGAGCCCCGGGTGTCCGCCTGTCGTTCTGTTGGGGGGCACGGGCCTGGGGGCCCCCGCAGCGCCACCCAACACCCCTGCTCCCCCCAGGCCCTGTTCGTGGTCTGCGGGCTCCTCACCTGCTGCTACTGCTGCTGCTGCCTCTGCTGCTGCTTCAACTGCTGCTGCGGGAAGTGCAAGCCGAAGGCGCCCGAGGGCGAGGACGCCGCCTTCTACGTGTCCCCCGAGGACCTGGAGGCGCAGCTGCAGTCTGACGAGCGGGGTGAGTGTGCGTCCCAGCCGGCGTGCGTGCGTGGGGTGCAGCCAGCACCGGCCCTCAACACCGTCCACCTGTCTCGTCAAACAGGCGGGCACTGACTCTGTGCCGGGAGTGTGTGTGGTGGCAGCTGGGACTGTTTGGTGTGAACGTGGACACCGGAGGTAAAAGCAGACGACGCACAGGGCCACCCCACCCGCACTGTGGTAGCCGTAGTTCTGAGGGACCAGAAGGCGGGGCGGGGCTGCGGGCTGGTGGTGACCGGAGGTGACGGAGCAAGGTCGTGCTGGGTGGAGGTCGAATGGCCTCTCTCTTCCAAGCGCTCGTCCCGTGACCTCTGGCCCCGGTAGAGCGAGCAGGTGAAGGAGCACTGTCACCGGAGGATGGCGGTGTCGGGGGCCAGACGGCGAGGCTGCCACCCTCGTGCGACGGACACGTGTGTGCTTGCTTTCCAGAGGCCACAGACACACCGATTGTCATACAGCCGGCGTCCGCCACGGAGACCACCCAGCTCACGGCCGACTCCCACCCCAGCTACCACACCGACGGGTTCAACTAAGCTCAGAGCTGCCGTGATTAGAGGACGAGTCAGCGCCCGGCCACCTCCACCTTAGAACCATGAACTGTAGTCACTGGGACG